GAGAGTCGATTTGGCGGGAGAGGAAAACAAAATAACGGGACATGGCATCTTCTGTCATCCATCTTCCTTGGCCGGCTGGATTAATGCTACAGGTGACAAAGATTGACGACTAACCTCGGGGTTTCAGAGCAGCCCATAGTCAGAAACTCAATTGAATAGAATTCTTGTACAATGAAGCCTGATTGGTGCACTGCAAAGATATGCCGCGATTGCTGCAGAATAGCGTATATGGTGCCATCCTGGTGCTCGCAGACCCCTCTTTCGAGAACTCTCTGCGACAAGTCAGAGCAGCTGCCGAAACAATGATACTTTCAACATCAGATAGAATATCTGCCCGATCACGAAAGTCTTCTGAACAGGCGATTGTCCCTGGACAAAGGTAGTTAAGCTCCAATGTGACCTTATCCCTGCATGCCTCATTACCTGTCGGTATGGGGTTGGGGGCCAGACGCGGAGGTGCGAAGTACACCCACGCGCGCATCCTAAGTCGTTGCGATTGCGACATATGACAACATAGCTGTGGACCCTCGCGCCACTGGCGACGGCGGAACGGAGTGCCGGCTATCGCTGAACCGTTAGACTACGGAGGCGGCACGGGCGGGCGTGTTTGAGCATATTTAGATACATGTTGGCGCAATTTGACATCAAAGATAGAAGGGAGACAATATTCATCCAGTCCTCTTACACGTCAGTCAACCGTTTCTCGCCTGTTGCGGATTTCTACTCGCTTTTATTCCTCCCCAAATTCATGCGACAAGACAGCCATTCCTTTGGAGAACCCAAGAATCTAATCTCATAGGTCGTACAAAATGAGTAGCAACGCTCGTTCGGTTCCTGCAACCGACCCCAAAGTGTACGACGAGTACCAGCAGAAGTGGTCGTCACTTCCTGCGGACGAAGCAGCGTGGCTTCAGCGAGCCAAAGACGTTGCAGATGTGCTAGCCGTAGATGCCGCGCAGCGTGAGAGGGAGAATAAGTCACCTAGAGCTGAGATTGCGCTGCTGAAGCATTCTGGTCTTCTCAAAGTCCTGGGATGGAAAAAGTATGGCGGTGGTGAGCAGCCGTGGAGCGTCGGCTACAAGGTGATTCGCGAGGTTGCCAAGGGAGACGGGTGAGTTTGACCGAAGATTGAGTACTTTTGCGAGTTGAATTTCTGATGTACTGGAATAGATCAATTGGCATGCTTCTGGGATACCATTTGCTCTGGTCAACGACGGCCAACGTCATTGGCAGCTCCGAGCAGGCAGACCGCACTCAGGATCTCATCATTTCCAACAACTACTTTGTCGGTGGTGCCGTAAACCCTCGCGACAGCGATCACAAGATCACTTCAGACGGCGACAACGTCATCTTCAATGGCTTCAAGAACTTCAACACCGGTGGAGTTATCTCCGACTTGACTGTTCTCGAAGGTGTACTTGAGGGTACGGATGACCACCTGTATGCGTTGGTGAAGACTGACCAGCCGGGAATTATCTTTTCTCACAACTGGGATAATGTTGGCCTGCGTCTGAGTGAGTCGGGAAGCGTCAAGATTGAGAACGTCACTGCGCCCTGGTCTGATGCACTAGGATGGAATGCCGCCGAGAAAAAGCCAGATGACTCGATTCTCAAAATCCCGTTCGCAAGTCTGCTTCTTCCCACGTAAGAACCCAATTCTCAACACTTGGATAGCAAAATCTGACTTTAGGAACAGGATTCAACTCGTTTTCAGCAACTTCTACATCGGTATTGCGTGGGGTGCGTTGGATTTTGCCTCAGCCTACACTAGAAAAAACACGCGGGCCTGGCCCTTCGGCGGTGATGTAAGTGTTAGAACAGCTCTAATCATTTATACCCATAAAATGCTAACAGCGACACTCCAGAACAAGGAGAAGGCCGAGGATGAGTTTTATATCCTGTCCACTTACGGAAACTTCCTAGCTCACCTCCGTGCAGCCGATGCACTTGCCGACAAGGCGGGTCTCGAGATTGATGCGTTGTACAAGTACTCTGGAGATCCATCAACTAGGGCCAAGGTCACCGCAAAGGCTCGAGGAGAAGCAGCGGAGTGGGTTGCTAGCGTCAAGGTTACGGCAACTGACACGGGACTTCGGGTTACGTCCGGTGTGTTCGAGGTGACGGGCGCGAAAGCCACCGGAACTAAGGTTGGCCTTGACAGATTCTGGAGAGATATCAGGACACACAGTCTGCATGATCCTGTGTCTTACAAAAATCGTGAGCTCGGTAGATATCAGCTGCTGGGCGAGATTCCCGAGCCGACATGGTACACTTAGAGAAGACACCAGGCGGAAGTATCAATGAATATAACGCATTTTGAGCCTTAAATTTCTCTCATTCCCATTAGGCTAATCATCGCTCAGAGCTGGTGAAATATGAACTCTCCTCACTGCCCTCTTATGGCCTTGAATCAATAGTCTAGATGTCTATACTTACAGGTCCATATCGTGGAATTGTGAAAATGCTTGATAACTTCATACAGAGATTTTACAGAGAGATCGACGCATCGGCAAACTTACTCTTGCCCCGAATAAGCTTTCCATATTTGAAGAATAGGTAAGGAAAGACCATCATTCCAATAGCCAAGAAGCCCAAAAGTGATGAGGCCCATTGAAACCCGAGCCTTACGTACATCTGATTTCCAAAAAGCGGAAATGCAGCTATGAAGGGATCAGTCAATTATGTTTGAAGACTCTGCAACTCGTCAGGGGACACTTACCAGCCGCCAGGCAACGGACAAAAGAATTGGCAGCTAGCGCACTGGCAGCATACCTGGGATAAGCTTCAACCTGTTCTCTGTTAGTGACTTTCTATGCCTTGGTAATTCTTCTTAGGATGGGCTACGCACCAGAAAGGTCCAGATACCAGTGAAAAGAAGGATGTTTCTGTTGAGAAGAACATTGTGTCAGTCCAAACTACTGTTGAGAGGGCGCTAACGATTGCATGTATATGTCAAAGCTCAATAAGACTTACCCAGCCCCGAACATGGCTGTACCAACGATGGGAACTATCCAATGCACCCAAGGGTACATGGACCAACCAAACATGAAAATTCCCACCGGAACAAGAATAGACCCGAACATAGCGGGTGGAAGTCGGAACTCAGGCTCGCTGCCATCTCCATTTTCGCCTTGGCCCTTGTTCTTCAAAATGAGTCTTATCCTGACTTTATGCCATACCGGATCTGTGGCAATACCCAGCAGCATACCAACCAAGATCCCCAGAAAGCTACAGCCAATTTGATAGAGATTGAAGCCATAAGTCTCTCTAAAACCAAGAGGGAAAGCTCCAAAGAATAAGTATAGTATGCCAAGTAGCAAAGCCGAGAAGAGGCAAAGAGAGAGACACATTGGCTCAAAAATGAGGAGCTGAATGGGCCGCAGTAATGATATTCCAACTGCACCGAGCACAGATTTGGAATGCATCTCCGAAGCTGCTTTCCAACGATCATCCTCGGTTTCTTTCCGAAGATTGCGAGCCTTGTTCCGTAAGAGAATGGGATCTGATAAGCCATGTCAGTTGCGAGTTCTTGGATGGGGGTCATCAAGCTTACGATAAGTTTCGGGGACAAGAAAGACAATTCCCAGCTCTAGTACAAAAGACCACATTATGAGGACGTAGAACGTCCAGCGCCACCCGGTATAATAATTAATGAATCCGCCGACTAAGGGCCCTAGGCTTGGTCCAATGAACGGACATATGGAAAACAGCAGCATGGGCGCTTGTAATTCGTCGTTTGAAAACAAATCTCGGACGGTTCCAGCGGATACAGCTTGGAAAGCGCTCCCTGAGAAACCGTCCAAGAAGCGAAGGACAACTAGTGTGGTGATGTTTCTTGCTGTCGCTTGGGGGATCAGAAAAAGCAGGTGGCAAGTGGACGAGATCAAGTAGATCGGCCTCCGCCCATAAAACTCGCTAAGAGGACTGAAGAGCATCGGCCCTAGCGACAAACCGAGAACAAAAGTTGATAGCCCCAGAGTCGATACGATCCTTAAGTTGTGAAATTCGGCCTCCAAGTTGGTGTATGTTGAAGTGTAAATAGAACTCGCACATGTGCTTTGCAGGTGTAAAGTGTTAGCGGTGACACAGACCCCTAGGACTCCTAGTGACCATAGATCTTACATGCAGAGCGCCATTTGTGAAACCACCATGGTGATTAGCCATTTTCTCATCTTGCCGTAGCTTCTTGGACATAGCGGATCGTTATCGCCACCATCCCAATCTACCAGAAATTGACCTTCGGCGCGTGTCATAATCTTGGCTTAAGGTGATGAAGCAGGGTTTTCCATATACTTCGTATAGGAACTGTATCTAGAGTTCGCGACGGCTTTCGTAAACTTCTCAGCGATTGAACTGTGAGAGTGCGCAGCTTACTGAGTTGCAACGCGGCAGTGTGCCGCAATCTTCTCAAGATATGAGTTCGCAGCTACTCAATCGTTACTCCGTTGCTCCGGGCATATTTCCGCCAGTTACAATATTGAATTACTAAGCTACGTCATGTATGTCACCCTAGATCGGTGTCGGTTCTCATACGCAATGGCCGGCAACGGAGGCACTAAAGCGGAGGCGGAGACGGAGGTAACACCGGGAATTGCGACGGAGATGTAACGGGCATCACACCAACCAGACCTTGGACCAGCCACTTGATAGATTGCGAAAAGTGCTATAAAAGTGCTCTTGACGAAAGGCTTGGAAATTAGAAGAAATGAAGTAAGGAATATACCACTAGCAACACAAACCTCATGGTTTATCACTGGTCTCAATGGCAACTCTTCATAAGCACTTTTTCCCCGACAATGAGTCTTTCGCCTATGAAGCTCTTCGAGCCGCCAGCTACACACACTGTGGTGGGGCAGAGCTAGCCGAAGTCATCTCAGTGTGCTCTCGCATTCCCCCCGGCGACGAAAAAATCTGGCTCAGAGAATGGCAATTGGCTGGAGACCGCGCCGTCCAAGCCGCGAAAGCGAGCTTGGCGAAGAACAATCGACGTGGTGCGCAGCATGCCATACAAGACCAAAAGGATCCAAATCCTCTTTGAAGGAACTACTCTTCCGGGAACGATGATGCAGCCTGACAAAAGCGACAAACCGAGGCCCACGATCATTTTTAATGGTGGCTTCGACTCCACCAAGGAAGAGATATTCTACATGAATGGCCAGGCGGCACTTGAAGAAGGCTTCAACGTTATTCTCTTCGATGGCCCGGGACAAGGCGAAGCTCTGAGAAAGCAGCGCCTCGTTTTCAGAAACGACTGGGAGACTGTAATCACTGCGGTTGTCGACTATGCTCTTGGCCAGCCCACAGTCATCGCAAACAAGGTGTTCCTTATGGGCATCAGTATGGGTGGCTACCTTGTCGGAAGAGCTCTATGTTTCGAGCATCGATGCGCGGCCGCTATCGTCAACGACGGAGTTTACGACTTTGGCGCTGCATTTCATTCCCAGAACCCTGGCCTTGGCAGATTCCTGCTACGCAATGGCTGGGACGCTACGATGAATGCTCTAATGTTCCAGATGATGCGCTGGGATACGGGCTTCAAATGGGCGATTTTGAATGGAATGTGGGCTTTCGGCGCTAAGTGTCCAGTAGAGGTGCTGCGCTGTGTGAGTGAGTATAGTCTGGAGGGGCTCGTGGACAACATCCATACTCCATTACTAGTTCTGGATGCGATTGAAGATCATTTCTTGAAAGGACAGCCAAAAGCCTTGTTTGGCAAGTTGCGCGGCGAGAAAGAATTTGAGCAGTTTACGGCGGAAGAGGGGGCAACCTCGCACTGCCATATGGGGTCCCTCACTAGGCTCAACCAGGCGATCTTTGACTATCTACTTCCGCGGGTGCAATAATGAGACCTACTCACTTATAAGTTGTACATAAACTGAACCTCATACATTTCTGAAAACATTAAACGTGGGAGCACCCACCGTTCCATTGACATTTCTATCAATTGCCCAGTGTATTATCTCTCTCTATTCGGCGTTCAGTTAAATATTACGACTAAACATACACGGCCAGGATAAGGGCCCGCTCCGTAGTCCGCAACGGCTATAATATACTATATATATAGAGCTTATAAGTCCCCACTGTAATTAGACTTCTCTCTTCTTTACGAGGGGCACGGGCCTCCAAGTGGAGGGAAGAAGCGGACATTGGACGGAGGTGACGGAACAGATCTCAATCGGAAATGTTCCCTTGCCGGCAATCCTCCCACGACACAAATTGGTTTGTTTCATAAACCAGACTGCCAAAAGCAGTTGATTGTGACTCAAAGAGCCTCAGTAATGTCTTTCATTTTTCCGGCAGAGGACACAAGGGCATCGGGCTCACTGACGAGTCCGATATCGCATCGGCGAAGGGATAAAAAGCAACTATCGTGCGGCTTCTGCCGACAAAGAAAGTACGGCATCTGATGCCTTTATTTCTCCGTTCTCCCCATCAGCTGCTAATCGACTCAAGATTACGATGTGACAGGCGCCAGCCGTGTGGTGCATGCAATGTTCGGGGCATTGGCTCATCATGCTTGTATCCAAGTGATACGAGAAGCCCGATGGTTCCAGCCCCTCCGCGAACCCAACCACAGCTTGATACCAGTCTTGAACTCAGACTCAAGCGCATTGAAGATATAGTACTTTCAAACATGAGATCTAAGACTGTAGAGCAAGATAACGATGCTCAGGACCTAGCTCCGCCGTGCAACACCTCATCACCGGCCCAGCCGGCGGCATCCACTGAGCCAGGCACGATGCATGTCGACTCACAAGGGACCACGTATTTCGCTAGTCCGCACTGGGAAACCATGATGGACGAGATTTCTGATCTAAAAAACGACTTCAGAAAAGCTTACGAAGGAGAATATTTGGTTGAAATTACGGACGTGTCGTCTAGAGCCATGAGCACCACTCCACTCCTGCTCTACGGATCCATGCAGCCAATATCGAAGGAGGCATTGATTTCGGCTTTGCCGGATCGGGACATAGCAGACCGTCTCATCTTTCGATACTTCAGCGAAATCTCTATTCTGCCGGGTAAGAAATCCGCCTTAGGGAGATGGGTGTAATTTTGTCTAAGAGCTCATATCTTGACAGCACGCGTGGTACATCCGTCAACTTTTCTTAAGCAAGTCAGTGATCTGTTGTGGCGTGTTAATGAAGGCGCACTTTCAAACTGACGAGTTCTTACAGTACGAAGAATTCTGGACCAGTCAGACTGCAGTCTCCTTCTCTTGGTTGGGTCTCCTTTACGGAGTACTGAGCCTTTCAGACCTATTCTCCCTGGGACCCGAACATAGACAGTCTCACCCACGGCAGACGTACCTGCAACAATTGGTTCGATGCCTTATTGCTGCGGACTACATTCGTGGAGGACCTTACATTCTGGAAAGCCTCATTCATTACTTCCTGGTGGAGTTCTACCTCAACCCCGTCACTGAGGTTGGCAATTGGATGGTGGCCGGCATCATAGCTCAGCTCGCATTCCGCATGGGATACCACCGGGATCCATCACACTTCCCGCACATCAGCCCTTTTGAAGGCGAGATTCGTCGCAGAGCTTGGGCTACCGTACACATTCTCGATAGCACCATGGCCATGCTCGTCGGCGCGCCGCGGATCATCTCAGATGGCACGTGGAACACGCGACCACCTGGTAACATTCCCGACGCTGACCTCGACCATGGCTGCGCCCAATTGGCAGTGCCTCGCGCAGACAACGAGATGACTGAAGTCTCGTTCCTACTCGCGAGATACAAAATGAGCCTTGCCACGGGGAGGCTAGTTGATCTGAGCTTGACGAACAAGCTAGAATCTTCAGAGGATGTGCGAAATGCTGAAAGTCGACTCGAGACAACATGGGTGTCAATGCCAGAAAGTTTCAAATTCACCTCGCTATCCCACTGTCTGTCAGATAACTCGGTTAGTCTGGCCCATCGGATCATGATTACTTCTCTTTACAATAAGTCTCGAATCATCCTTTACCAGCGTCAATTACGGAAGTTTGCCAGTAAACCCAGGGCGGTTCACGAGGATTGGGTGTCGTCTGCAGGTCATATGTGCCTTGAGGCAGCTCTTGAAATAATCAAGCAGTTGGTTTTTCTAGATATCGAATCACAACCGGGCGGCATGCTGGTGACATTGAGAACCAAAGTATCCGCCCTGGTGATCCATGAGGGTCTTGTCGCCACCGCGGCCTTGAGCATATACCTGTACCATTGTCCGCGCGTTCCACTAGATGGTGAAAACGGATGCGCAACCAAGAGCCCAGAGGTTGAGATGATGCTGAGAAGAAGTTATCAAACATGGTCTCGTTGGGGCAAGTGGTCCGCCGAAGCAAAAAGAGCAACAGAGCTGCTGGATTCGTTATTCCGCAAGCTTGGAGAAGGACCATTGCATGTTGGACTCGACGAAACACACTTACAAATGGATGATATGGAGCTGAACCTTGACTGGGACGCAGACACGCTTGGGGTTTTCTTCCCGCTCCTCGACGGAACCCATGATTGAACAATTTCCTTAACAATACTTAAGGACTACAACTGTATTAATGTTGTATGCATCCTCGTAGGAAAGGGTCGACCGTTCTCAGTCTGAATTTAGTAAACATATATAGAACCTTCTCCTCTCAAGGTCCGCCAATGCTCCGACGTGATCGGCATTCTAACACGCAGTCAACCGTATAGACAACCGTGTAGGCGATTGAGAAGAAGAGAATGGTACGAAGGTGCACGCGCTGAGAACTTGATTCAGACGTAAAGTTTGCATCACCCTTCTCAGCCCATACTTGGTCCCGAAACTGGCATTGAGAGACTTCCAGTGGCTTGAAAGATGTCCTCTTCTTAATTAACAATGAGTAATTGATAATGAGTAGTCCTTGTCGCAGACTTTCACTGAATTCCAGCCATTTTTGTTATATTGTCGTCGGGTTGTCTTCCATAGTTATCGCAGTTCACGCTTATCCGAGTCTTTCCTCCGTATATTCACCCATGAATAGTTTACAAATGAAGTGACAGGTCAACAAAGACTAAAGATAGATTTACCAAGGTCTCTTAGGACTTGAGGCCATAGGATGTTGAAAACCAATCATGTCAAGGAGTGTGAGATAACAGTTAGTAAGCTGCCTAACACACATATATTAGCCAACCCGCAACAGCCAGGGTTCAATAATTTACTCCCTGTAAACTGGTGGAGAAAGTCATACCGAGGCAGGATAAGGAGTCATGAAGGATGAGAAAGGGGCGACAACGTATGCTAGGCAGTCGCGTTGATTATTTCTGGCGTATTCTGGTCGGCAGAGGAATGTTCACGTGTTGCAAGACTTGAGGCCCAGGAGACATTCGTTTGAGAGACGTAGATACAACGAACAAAAAGGACACTCAACAGGATGATGAAACACGACATTTACGAAAAGCATGGCAGGTCGATGGTTTCCAAAGAAGTATTGGAAAGTTGCGTTACGAGGCCATGCGTCTTTGCTAACTACTTAAGGTACCTCATAATGTGAGAGGCTTCTGCAATATGTCACTAAAATTACAAATGCCAGGTAGGGTCGTTCTACTGCTTATCAGTAGGATCTAGCTATCTTAGTAAGGGCTTGATTTTTGATGGAAAAAAGTATAATAATACATTCAGAAGTGGAAAAGAAACGAATTCTAGCCTATTTTCGAGTTTTGGTCTTCAAGGCCTTTGCAGCGAGCCCAGGCACGTCATTGACGTCCAGTGTCTACGTCCGGTAGCGCGGCAACTAAGGTAGGCTGCAGAGGGTACTTTGTCTTTTGCAACTCCCAGCATCGCATGGCTCATGTGTCATCATAGACATAAAGAGCAGAAGAAGGAATTCAACTCTCTGAGACTGGATCAAGCGCTTGCAGTAACGTAAACCGTGCTGATCACTGTGCTTCGTGGTGGGCATCGAGACTTCTTGGAAGTGGTGGTGAAAGGCGCAGCCGTTGCGCTCATAGTCGCGGCTGAGCTGACTGTTGACACCACCAACTCGCTGACCTCGCTCTTCGGGGCCGCTGATCCACTTAAGCCAACCGCAGTCGTAGATGCGTACGAGTACGTCGCGTTGGCAGAAGACACTGCCGCGGAGGCAAGGCTTGTGGGCACGACTACCGCCGCTGAGGACGAAATATCCTGTCCCCCAACTGTGGAAGTGACTGCCGGGAGTGTCCAAGGGGTAGCTGTCGGAGCCACGCTAACACCTTGTGCGGTGACGTTCTCCACAAGAGGCTGGGGCCATCTAGCCGGTCCAGGCATTGTGAAGTTGACGATCCACGGACGGTACATGTAGAACTCGATACCAGGCTCATGGCCGTCGTACAATCCCGGAATCTTGACAGTCGGGCCGGGGACGGCGGTACTGTCGCTCTCAACTTCGATCTGGGCGCAGTTGAAGTAGAACTCCGCACCACCAAAGTCACCAGCTCCATGAACGCCAATGTGCTCGATTCGCATGAGGTACTGCCCAGCGGGCGTCTCCTCAGGCAACTTGAACGTAAAGTTGCCAACGTTGGTGACGCCCCACTCGATGCCTTCGCTGGAGAAGGACTTTGGCCCGAGCTCATAGATCTTGAACCAGTCACCGGAACCGTCGTACTCGCGAACATCACCCGGTGCTTTGGAGAGATAGGCCTGCATGGGACCCGGGTGCTGAATCGTGCCGCCAAAGTTGAGGCCGAAGCCCACTTCGTCGCCCGCCTTGACTTTGTAGACGCCCGTGGTGGCGGCGTGCTCCATGGAACCGGTACGGCATCGGAGGTCGGTGCTGTCGTAGCCGTTCTTAAAAGGCATGTAGCCCGCGCTGTTGTCGCGGACGTATTCGTTGTAGCCGGTGAAGTTGCCGTTGACGATGAGGTGGGGGAAGAAGTAATGAGCAGACGCGCCGGAGGCTGACGCAGCCAGAGCGAGAAAAGTTGAGCTCCGCATGTTGGGCGAGAAATGGAATAAGGAACGGAAAGGCAGATTTGCCAAAGTGCTAGAAAAAAAAGAATGGACTGAGATGTTACGACCCGCGGAAGATGGAAGGACAACACACTGGAGTATGACAGCTCATGTAGCGCCGGCGTTTTCATCACCTTATACTTCGCCATGCTGCCGGCAGGAGTCCGACATCGACTTTGACTGCCGAACGCCGACTTGACGTTTGTAAGTGGGCCAAGCCCATTAGCCCCCGAGTCTAAGATGAACCGGTGGTCCTGTCATCAGGCAAGCTAACGGGACATCCCTTGAACTTTGACGGTCTGTTTCAACGGGCCGGTGGGATGGCGTGGACGAATAGACGCTGCCGTCACCCATGAAATTCTCCGTAGCTATCGGACGTCTGAATGGTCCAACATCACCTTGTCACATTGGCCCTGGTCGAAGGCGTCTACTAGAGTTAGAATGTGTCTAGGAAGCTGTCAACGATAGGGATAATTTACGCGCACTCACCTGAGTGGTGCGGTAGCCCCCTTGCGGCGGGACATGCCTTGGCGCAACCGCAACACTGGGTGCCGGCGGGGATAACAGAAGAGTACATAGCAAACAAAGTCGGACGGATCGTCGATCTTTTATCTACGCGAGGCACGTTAAGAACTAGGATTGAAAGGCGAGTTTTATGGAGTTTCTTGACATATCAATCGCTCAACTCCCCCTGACTCAATTTTGACTCACGCTATTCTGCTTGACATCGCACTCCTCCTCCTCACATCAGCGCCCAAGACCTGAAACCCGAATATTGAAAATCAAAGTCAGACAAAAACTAAAAACCCCCTTTCTGTACTCTTATCAGCAAAAATTATGCAGACAACAAACCTCTCATATTGGAAATCCATGCCCCCTCTCATGTTTCTCACTTCGTGTAGCTGCGCTGATTGGCAAAGATGGTCTGGCCAGCAGCCACAACTGCGTTCTCCCAACCGGGGTGGTGAGATTTATAATGCTATCCATGCTGTTAGCTGATTTGTTCTCACAAGGAGTTTGAATTCAAAGGGGAAGTGAAAAGCAACTTACTCTCTTGAGGCGATCCGTCGTCGTGTAGCCCAAGCCACATCCCAGCACACATCGGTTCGTCTTGCGTTCCTCGAGGCTTGCAACACGGTCAGACTTTACCTTGGTATCCTTCCGGGGAGTATTCCTAGTCTTGATTGAGCCTTTACCGCTGCGGGGATTTTTCTTCCCAGAGCCCTCAAAGTCCGAGTCTGAGGAGCTGGAGTTCTTCCTGGGTGGTTGGGGAGGAATGTCGTCTCTCACAAAGTCATCTGGGTCCGAAGTGTCATCTGAATCTTGTTCCTCGGGTTGTACAGCACCACCATCGTCCAAGTCCATCGGGTCCGGAGAGGGGTGTGTACCTTCTACTTGCGCCTGCGCATGCCCCCGAGCAATTTGGACGATAATATCTCCCATAGCGTCGATAGTCGCTCTTTGTACATCTTCCCAGTTCTCGACGTCTTCGCGGTTGTAGAAGTCGATCAAAAAGTTTGAAACGAGGTGTTGAATCTCGGGACGGCTAAGGAACGGTGGCGCCATCGCTGTAGTCAACTTAGTAGATATCAAGTTTGTGGGTAGGTTGTTTGTTGGGATTTGGGGTATACTGAACTTTGTCTGTTGTCAAGTTGTCGGTGATCGGCTGTGCTGGGATGATGATGATGTTGTATTTCAATCGACGTTGGAAAGGATGAAGACGAAATAAGTATTCTCCCAATGACGGGCAGGGAGGCTTGAGGGCCAGTCAATAGTGTTGAACTCAAAGCTAGCAATTTTCAGAACAATGCCATCGATATTACAAAGACCTGTTTTTGTTCTCAACCTTGGACAATGTCACAATAGTCGAGGTCTCTACCTCGTTGGTCATTAAATAAAGGCGATCATTTCATTCACAAAGGGAGTTCGAACAGCGAGACAGAGTCTTTGAGGACGCATTATCATTGACCAGTTGATATCGCATCACTGGTGAAAGCCAACAAAGCATTGTAAGAATTCGCAAATTTCATCCGCATCTACACTCTATTTCCTTCTACCAATCATGCCGGAAATTTAAATTCTCTCGGTCGTAGAACAAGCGCCAGCCGGAGCTCAGTCTCCCATCGTAGCTTACCTTGATATTTACCCCTTGCCGATGGTAGTCTGGGGTAGATCCAAGGTCTGCAAAACAAGGAGATACTTTACTAGTGTACTTGGGCCCGGCTCTGCTTCTTTTACTGCTCATGACGAGATTCCTTTGTATTTTATGTGAATACGATGGCAGTAATTACGGATTGATTCAAGTACCTTACTTGAGCCCGAATCGACGTGGTACTACATGTACAGATTGCTTACATCTAAATATTGTCACTCAAAGAAGACTCCTGTAGCCGATATGGGCCACTCATAATAGCACAGCTGAATCTCATTCACGATTCTACTGATAATCCCATGGATCATCGCCCCAGTCGTCTCCAGAGTAGTCCACAGCAGCTTTCTTCGTCCACTTGTTCTGAGCAGCGGGACCTTGATCTACAGGAACGGTGCTGACGGTAGTCTTTGGC